TCGCCTTCGAGCCGAGCATCACCAGGCCCATGGCGATGCCCGCCGCCTCACCGGTCACCGCGTCGTCCTGGTACAGGTTGCACTTGAGCTGAGGGGAGAAAGGTGTTAGTCATTTTCTAAATCAAAACCTACTAATCCCTACCTGTTCGTAGACATCATTTCGGTGCGAGCCCATGGCGGCGAGGCCCAGGCCGAGGCAGCCGCCGTGCTTCACCGCCTCATTCGTCGCCCCCTTCAGCTGATTGAGGAGGTAGTCGACGATGCCGCCGCCGCCGTGGTTCGCGTGAATCAGCCCCAGCGCGTAGAGGCCGCCGCCCTCGGTGTAGCCACTGCCGGGCCCGTTGTCCTTCGGCAGGTAGCTGGCCATCAGGTGGAGGGCCTCCTTCTCGTGCCGCTTGTGGATCACCCCCAGGCTGGCCGTGGCGCTGAACTTGGCCCAGTTGACGGCCCGCGCCAGCCAGTCGAGGTTGTCGCGCAGGAACTGGTCGCTGGTGGTGCCGCAGTGCATCAGTCCGTTGGCGATGACGGTGGCATTGTGGCACACCGAGTTGCGCACCGCCTCCTTCGTGCTCTTCAGCACCAGCAGGTCGGTCTTGTTGTTGCGAATGAGGAACTGCAGGTCCAGCTCGATGGAGGTGTCCCCGGTGAGGATCTTCGCCAGGTTCTCCAGCCGCTCCTGCCGGCGCTTGTCCTCCTCGCTCAGGTCCTCCTTCTTCAGCGGCTCGCTCGGCTTGATGTCGCTGGGAGAGGAGCTGCTCGCCGCTGGCGGAGTGTCCGTCTCCATCTTCTCCGGCTCGGCAGCAGTGGAAGCGGCGGCAGCTGCAGCTGCAGATGAAGAAGAGGAGGACGAGGACGAGGCGCCCGGAGCGATGATGGGCTTCTTCGGCGAGATGAGACTGGCAATGGGGGCGGCCAGGCGAAGGGACTCGGTGATGCGCGCCAGAAACTGCTGCGTCGCCGACTCGTACAGGTCAAAGGCAATCTGGTAGGCCATCAGCGCCTTGTCGTGCGACTGACGGGTCAGCTTGTCCAGAAGCTAGTGGGAATAGAGGAGAGGGAGATTAGTATTGGCAAAGAGTAGACAAAAGTAAACAAAAGCACTCACCTCGGCAATGGCCTTGTCGTCGTCGAGGAAGATGAGACACTGGACCATGTTGATGTAGTCGGGCACCTGCAGGTTCCGGTACAGGTTCACCAGAATCTTCAGCACCTGGTCGCGAAAGTGCAGATTGTCAATGAGACTCATGGTGATCTTGAAGGCGTAGGCGAGCATCGCCTGCAGGTCGTTCGAGTGGAGGATCGCCTGCTCGAAGACGTCCATGCGGCGCGTCTCCAGGGCGATGCCGATCGCCTGCTTGAACTGGCCGTCCTCGAAGCATCGCTGGAACATGCGGTTGACGATGTCCTCCAGGCGAGAGTCAATCGGTGGCTTGTCGGCATTGGTGGCACTGGCCGCGGCCGCTCTTAGCTTGATGTAGTGGTCAATCGACTTGCTGACGATCGTCTCCACGTACTCCGAGGTGGCGGNATCGAAGCATCGCTGGAACATCCGGTTGACGATGTCCTCCAGTCGGGAGTCGATGGGCGGCTTCTCGGCGCCGCTGGTGGAGGCACTGGCCGCGGCCGCTCGCAGCTTGATGTAGTGGTCAATCGACTTGCTGACGATCGTCTCCACGTACTCCGAGGTGGCGGTGACGTTGAAGAGCGACCCGGCGCCCAGCGCGTAGGTGAGCGAGTCCTCGAAGCTGCCCAGGTGGTAGTAGACCTTGGAGGCGACCAGGGCGGCCAGCTGGCGGTGGGGGAAGCTCTCGTCCTCGTAGAGAATCTCGATCTTCGGCACGACCTCGCTGATCTCCGCCCAGAACTCGTCGACGACGCTGTTCAGCCGCTCCAGGGCGAAGATCTTCATCTCGGGCAGGGAGTCATCGAGGAGGGAGATGATGCCCGCCGCCGACGTCAGCTGAAGGCGTGGCTGCATCGTAGTGGTGGGGCCGGTGGTGCTGTTGTTCTTGCTTGGGGGGCCCTGGTGGCGCTTCGAAATGGTGGCGACCGCTGCGGACGCCAGCTCGGCAAAGTGGTGGGTGCAAGAGAGAGGGGGCAGGGGGAAGATAAACACAACAACAAGTGACTGGACGGAGTAGTGGACTGCTGTCCCTGGAAGCTACTAGCTTGGGTCTTTGGCTTGCTTCGGGTGGTCCGAGGAGAAGTTCTTGACGGCGCAGAAGAGACTTGGAGAGAGATCTCGACGTCAACGTAGACCGAGAGTGAATGACTGCGGCAGCCAGTCAGCACAAAACACCGAGGCAGAATGACAAAGCGAAAGCTGCGGCGGCTGCAAAAACTGGCCAGCGCTATGACGACACAGGCGGCCACCGCTGCTGTGGCAATAGTCGCCAAAAAGTGACTTGCCAAAAGTGCTACTGCTGCTGTGCTTGTTGTGATTCAACTGCAAACACACACACCGACACTGACATCGCTCCACTTCGGATCACCACCACTTCTTCAGCCGATCACCACCACCAATTCGAAGACGATCATCACCCTAAGATGGCGACCAGCATCGTGAGCAACAGCGAGGAGGTGATCACCGGCGTCACTGGCGGCAAGACCCATCTCTCGGAGACGCTGCCCCGCGAGCTGTACCTCGGCGCGGACACCGGAGCCGAGGTGAGCACCGGCACCTCGATCATGGCCGTGGAGTTCGACGGGGGCGTGGTGGTGGGCGCCGACTCGCGCACCACCACGGGCGCCTACATCGCCAACCGCGTCACCGACAAGCTGACCAAGATCACCGACCACATCTACGTCTGCCGCAGCGGCTCGGCGGCGGACACGCAGGCGCTGGCGGACATTGTCGCCTACCACCTCGACTTCTACCAGATGGAGAGCGGCGAGCCCGCCCAGGTCGCCATCGGCGCCAACCTCTTTGCCGAGATGTGCTACAGCTACCGCGACTCGCTCACCGCCGGTAAGAGAGGAGGTCATTTCGAATTGGATGATCTGGTCTTTCTAATTCCCTCTTTTTCCCTTTTTCCAGGCATCATCTGCGCCGGGTGGGACCGCCGTCGCGGCGGCCAGGTGTACACCATCCCGCTGGGCGGCATGGTCACCCGCCAGCCGGTCTCCATCGGCGGCAGCGGCTCCAGCTACGTCTACGGCTACGTCGATGCCCACTTCAAGCCGAAGATGAGCAAGGAGGAATGTGCCGCCTTTGTCACCAACACGCTGACGCTGGCGATGACCCGCGACGGCAGCAGCGGCGGCGTCGTCCGCCTGGCCATCATCACCGAGGCGGGCGTCGAGCGCCGCCTGACGCTCGGCAACGAGCTGCCCGAGTTCTACCAGCGCTGAAGATAAGATCCCTCTCTCAGTTTTCTAATCCCTCTTCAGTACACACACACACACTGCATTACTCTACAGTACTACTATTCTTATTCCTCAATAAACACACACAGAATTTAATTGGTAATACAGACAGTGGAAGAAAGAAGACAGTAGAAAGAAGAAGAAGTTCAGTGCTCTCTCAGGCGACAAAGTCGAGCGGTCGATTGAAGCCGCCCTTGCGGTTCATGTACTGCCGGTACTTGCGCTTCTGCAGCAGATTCACCGCCGACACCTCATTCCCTACGACCTTCTTGCCGTGGGTGCTGTCGAACGTTCCGAAGCCCATCAGCTTCATCATCNAAGCCGCCCTTGCGGTTCATGTACTGCCGGTACTTGCGCTTCTGCAGCAGATTCACCGCCGACACCTCATTCCCTACGACCTTCTTGCCGTGGGTGCTGTCGAACGTTCCGAAGCCCATCAGCTTCATCATCGCCTGCTCCTCCTCGCTCTTCCCCTCCAGGTCCGCCTCGGTGATCTCCGGCCGCTCGAGGAGGGCCTTCGGCACGGCGCCGCCCACCGCGACGCTCTTTGAGCGCTTCGAGGAGTCGTCTGAGGAGGTGGAATGGGATCGACGACGGCCTCCACCTGATGGAGGTGACCGGGAGCGACGACGAATGCCTCGAGAGTGGCGGTCCTTGCTGTGGCGATCTCGGTCTCGATCTCGGCGCTCCCTGCTTCGGTCTCGCTCTCTTCGGTGGCCTTCATCACGACGAGATGACCGGTGGTGGTGGGCAGCTTCCCTCACCGGTGGCGGTGAGCTCTGGCGAGGATTCCGCTCGCGACCAAAGTTGTCCACCTCAGAGCGACGGTCGCGTCGGTGGTCACTGATGACGGGGCTTCGACTTCGGGAGCGGAGGCCGCCATTTCGACGGCTATCTCGGCGGTGGTCTCGTTCTCGCTCTCGCTCTCGGTCTCGATCGCCACGTGATGACTTGTGGTGGTGGTGGTGACCTCTTGAAGAAGAAGATGGCGGAGATCGAGATCTGCTTCGCATTGAGGATGA